CGCACAGAATAAAGATCAGTAACAGAAGAGCCACTCAGCGGTGCAACGTGTCTTCGTTTTTTTATGCAAAAATATGCAGTTTACTGGCCAGAAGGCGGAGCAGCCAGCCAGTACAGCGTGTTTATTGGCCAGAAAATGTCATTGACTGGCTAGGAAAATGGCGGCCAACATGCGTAATGCGACATGCGCGAGGACAGAAACTTCAAAGCTTCCGACGTAAGTGGCCCTTCTATATGGATCTTTATTCTATGACGCAGGCTAAACTAAATTTTGTGTGATGCACACTTTTTCGAAATAACTTGAGTTTCATGTTTTTTTAAAACTATCAGCCAGTAAATATTTTTATCTGCTACTACACACGTAAAAACGCACAAGTTGTAACAAACTGCAGCAGACTTATAGCAATGCTGTTCCGACAACTTGTTATTTGTCAACAGGATGTGTTCATACTGCTTGTTCCCAGCTTATTGAAAACTTGCTGCAAGGTTGTTGAGCTCAACAGACTTGTTACAAGTTGTTCCAACAACTTGTTATCGTCCTGCAATTCAACAATTTGTCAACAAGTTGTAAGTGACAACCTTGTAGCAACTGGATAAAATAACAGCATTGTTACAACTTGTTGACAAGTTTGCCACAATACAAGCCTGTTGCGAACACATCTTGTTGACAAGTTGCGAGATAAGAGATTTTTACCTGTATAGTTCACTGTTGGAAGCAAACGACGGTATCAACTGCCTAGGAACGCCTGTTCGCAGGTTAACATGGGCTGGTGTTGTATTTGACTGATATAAACAAACTGGATTTTGGAAATTTGTAAGAGCCTTTTCGAAGCGATTTCAAGCTGTATTCGCTTTACAAGAGTGCTTAAAAGATCATCAAATATATTGGACAAAGCTAACGTAATTTTAAACCACAATGCCGTTGTTTTTTGCAACATGTGGCCCCGATCAAGTTATGGCAATTTCAGGTAGGGACAAAGCCCAATAGTTTGCACAGCACGACTGCAAAAAAGTCAAGAAATATGGAAGGTTTTTTTATGTAAGAAAATATAGCTTGATAAATGTTCTCCTTGTAAGCAAAATTTAGTGTAGAATGTAGATATGCGGTATTTGTAGGGTATATTTTTTTATGAAGTTGATTAATTGTGTTTTATAAAATTTAAATGCCGTATCCTATAGTATTTGACTATTTGTTGCAAATTATAAGCGGATGTTATTCAACAAATGCCTGAAAATTTCGAGTAATTTTGCAAACATATTGGCAGCAAGTTTATCATCAGTGTCCTAAAATATCTAATCAGTATTTGACTTTGGAATTTTACACCATTTCATAAAAATCACTGATAAAATGTGTTTATTATAAATGCCATGCATATTTGACAATGACTACATAATTTGTTATTGTGCTATTCTTTCACTAAGGGAAAAAATATTGGGTATCAGCAACTGATATTTGGATGTCTACTTGAACGTGAGAAAGCAGTGCATTATAATATGATACACAATTAACTTATTAAATTGCAATTCATTGTAATATGTAAATCCAAAACAATATTAATAGTATGACTTCAAAAATGGGAAGTTTTTTCGATTTCAGTTAGATTTTAGTCCCCAAGAATGAATGAAATTACTACATATCATAGGTATATATTATACAAGTGCTGAGAAGTACTATATAAGGTCATTAGTTAACTCATTAAGTGGCAATGTGGCCAGTGGCCTACTTTATTATTTTGCTCTGAATAATGCCAGACGATATTACTTGTCAAAGGGCTCAGAGCACTGGCATTCAATGGGTTAAATATTAGTACTTCTTTAGAAGCTTTAGTTCAGTGATGATGGTTAGGTTCAAGGAGCAGTTTTCCAGCTAGGTGGAATTTTGTGCGAAGAGTGGGATTTTTCTTTGTCTTTTCTAATTAGTTACACACGAAAAATCACAAGACAAAGAAAAATTCTGCTCTACATGCAAAATACTGCCCAATGAAGAACTGGAGGCCACTGGTGCTCATGCACTGCTCAGTGGGTTAATCACACTGGTAAAAAAAATTAGTAGTTTCTCGTCCCCGCCCGCATCCTTTTTCCCTGTCGCATGGATTTTACTTTTTTTATGTTTTATATCATGCCTGTATATTTAGTTTTTTTTGCAGGTAGCTAAGCCAAATAAAATGCATGGTCCGAACTTGCCCACTTTGCTTCAAGCTTGCAAATTGCGACAGGGTACCGGCCACCGAAGAAATGTTATTGAGTTATGTTTCATGTTGTCAAAATTGAGTGTCCGCTAATTTGCTCAAACCCATTATTTGTAATAATATTCAATGAATGGAAATCAAGAAAGCTGACAACAAGAACATTCTGACTGTTCGAAGAAAATTTTCTCAAAAATTTTAAGTTTTTGATGGCATCATTTGATCAATTTACGTCTTGAGTACGACTCTTATTAAATCACTAAATAATTGCAAAATGTATTTGGAAAAATTGAAATTTTCTACTTTACTTAAGCATGTGTAAGACCTTCTGACCAAGGATTGCAGTTAGCTTCAGGCACTTGCAGGTAGTGCCACTACCTAGGATCCCAACATCTGACAGGCATGTTTTATATTCGAGCCTTTCAAAGAATTTCCACTTAGTGATTTTGGCCATTTTGCTCCTTTTGGCCTAGTTTGGTTGCTGTTCGGAAATTTTCGTCAATTCTTGCTTGCTGTTTGGTACTTTGCGCCTGCTGTTCACGCCAAATTGTTATTTTGGCGCCATATTGCATTAGTGCGCCTGCATTCTCTTTTTTTTTCAAAATTTGGATGAGGAACTACTAATTTTTTTTATGTGGCCTTAAGTTGCATTGCACCCTACTGATCATTTTACTCTGTCTAACATCAGATCATTTTGCTCTGTCTAACCCCAGACAATTTCACTCATCAAGGGGAGAGCTTTGTCATTCAATGGGTTCTTGCAATGAAAGGGGTCCACTGCCATGGTACTTCGAAGCAGTAGCGTAACCAGCCCGACGATTTAGTCCCACTATGCAAATATTTTTGTGCTCATTGACTGTGAAAACAATCAATTTCTAAAGAAATGAATAATGGGTCATTCCAGAAAACATCCATACCTCCTCCACGGAGGAAATTGGAAGTTAAGTTTAACCCCCTACCCCCTTCAGATGTCCTAATACACTTACTATTATCAGAAACAATTCTTTCTCCCCTTTCCTTCCAGATGGCAGAATTTTTCTCTGTGGGGGGAGTGTGGGTCTTTTCTGGAATGACCCAATGATAATAATTTTGAATTTGCATAGCAGGAGTGGACTAAATTGTTGGGCTGGCTACGCCACTGCTTAGAAGAGACATAGGACAGATAGTTTAATTTGGTTAATGCATATTGATATGAGTATCCTATTTTTCTATTATATAAAAGTCCCAAAGGAATAATGGATCCTGAAAAATATGCATTGATATTTTTTAATAGGATGTGGTTACAAACCTTACAGAATTATCCAAGGAGGAAGAGCAATAATAATGCCATGTTTCCAGAAAGTTCAAAAGTAAATTTTGGTTTGCAACTTTTTAAATTATTCCCTGTATTATGGAATCATATGTTACTCAGTACGTTGTATCTTTTACATTAGTACCTATTTTACCAGATATAGGAGCAGCATTAGCCCTATTTTGAATGGAGTATGTGTATGCGAAAATTTGCAGAGTCATTTCCCCTACAGTAGATATAATTATTTTTTGGTAAGGCATAAAAAAAAATACTTGTGGTTCCGGTTCCCGACCAACCCTATTTTTTTTCTGCTGACCCTATTATTCTTTCAACACGATTGACTGTGCAACCCTATTTTCTCCAGGTGGTTGCGGGCTGCTCATACAGCGTGCCAACATGGCGTCTGTTGTCACACTAATTATTGAACTAAATTGCCTAAATTCGTCCATAGGAAATACACATCTCTAGTTAATATTGATGTTGGGACTTTACTGCAAATCGCCCAGCAAAAAGCTGCCAAAACCATGAAAAAAATATTCAAAAAAAAATTATTTCCGACCTAGCGACCCTAATTTTTTAACGATATGAAACCAGAACCACAGGTATTTCAAATATTGTAGTTTTTTCCTTCCTATCAAATTCATGTTTTGCAGACTGGGAAAAAAATTGGCCAACTGGGATTAAATAATTTGTTGACTACCTGATGACTGGGGGTTGTTCCACCCCCTCCGGCACCGCCCCTGACCATTTAGATTTACAAATCTCAGCATGCTTAGTTTGCATCAGTTACCAATTTATTAACAATGTTGATAACATAGCATTGACCATGCCCAACTACATTAAAACCATGCCTATTTTGTCAGAAGAAAGCAAGGTGTTCAATGTGTTAAGCTTTGTGTGTGTCTGTGAGACTCAGCTAGGCCCTAGTTTCATGACACCGGATTTGCATCGGCGCGACATCAAATTTTACAGTTTCAAAAATTCAACAGGAGTTTAGCACTCAAAATTATGATAATACTAATAATAGAATTAGTCAAAAACTTCAAATATGAAAACTTGTGAGAGTCCGAAAAGCATCTTAGTTGATGTCACTCGACTCATGTAACTAGGGGCCTCAGTGCTACTTGTAGTCGGGCAGACAGAAGGAAAAACTTATTATATTGTGGGACAATTCCATTTTGCCTTCATATTGTGCTCTAAAGGCTAATAAGTACGTTTCTGTATGTTGGCCGCATTAAAATTTTTTGTGGGCTCCTACCGACACGTTTTTCTTCCAATTTTGTATTAAACTCTATTACTGTAACAGTTAAAAAATGTGAAATTTCTGATACATTTCTAATACAAATGACTTACATCATTTGAAAGCTTGCAAAAAACTACATATAAGACATTTAAACTGTTACCCAGGATTTTCAAGTTCTTCTTTAGTTATGAGCTGTCGAATGCATGTTTTCAAACTAGTACCCAGGAATTTTGCGAGATTTTGGCTTAGTTTTCACATTTAAAACAGCAATAACTCGAAAACTGCTTGAAAATCCCAACTAACCATTTAAATGTCTTATATGTAGTTTTTGTTAGCTTTCCATTGATGCAAGTCATTTGTATTAGAAATGTATCAGAAATTTCACATTTTTTAACTGTAATAGAGTTTAATATAAAATTCGAAGAAAAACGTGTCGGCAGGAGCCCACAAGAAATTTTAACGCGACCAACATACAGAAACGTACTTACTAGCCTTCAGGGCACAATATGAAGGCAAAATGGAATTGTCCCACTATATAGTAAGATTTCCATAATTTTGAGCCTCTATCTGCCTGACTATTGTTACTATTTCAGAATGCCTCTGAATGTATTCACACTGAATGTCCAATCACCTAAGGCTTACACTCATCATGGAGTTCCTGTCATTGTCAGTGGGATTGCACAGGTACAGTAATTGCAACATGTATCATATATAAAGAACAAAATTTTACTTGAATATACACAACATGTATTTTTGACAACATTCACTGATCCAGAAATGAAGGGAGAGAGAGTACGCTCAAGACTGCATATGCAATAAATTGTTTATTTCAGGTGAAAATCAATTCTCAAAACGAAGACATGTTGAGGCAAGCATGTGAACTATTCATGGGAAAGAAAGCGGAAGAGATCCGTAACATTGCCCTGGAGACGATGGTAAGCCCCAGAGGCAGAGTTGGCATACCGGTATTTTTATCTTGCCGCAATGAAATTATAACTAAGATTTATCCGAATTGAAAATCTGTGCTTAAAACCAAGGTTCGTACAAAACTTGAAAATCCTTGAAAGTTCTTTAAGGCCTTGAAAGTCCTTGAGTTTATAAAGAAGTGCTTGAAAGTCCTTGAGGGTTGAGTTTATAAAGAAGTGCTTGAAAGTCCTTGAGTTTATAAAGAAGTGCTTGAAAGTCCTTGAGGGTTGAGTTTATGAAGAAGTGCTTGAAAGTCCTTGAGTTTATAAAGAAGTGCTTGAAAGTCCTTGAGTTTACAAAGAAGTGCTTGAAAGTCCTTGAGGGTTGAGTTTATAAAGAAGTGCTTGAAAGTCCTTGAGTTTATAAAGAAGTGCTTGAAAGTCCTTGAGTTTATAAAGAAGTGCTTGAAAGTCCTTAAATTGTTCCTGCTTTAGTGGATATTTTCTGAAAGTGTTTGGCGGCATTAAGAATTGGACATTTTGTAAATTGATTTTGTTCATGTCTTAGAGAGACAGAAGCTGTTTGAAATTCAGTAAAGTTGCCGTTTGGCGGTTTGAACAGTTTAACGTCACTTTTTATTCATTTCTAAGTTCTAACGCTTTCTTTTCAGCCCTTTAATCCTTGAATTTCCTGATACTGTATATGGCCTTCGAACGTGCTTGAATTTAACTCTTCCTGACCTTTACGAACCCTGTTAAAATATTTATGAAACAAACAGTATAAAACAATATTCGGCTCGAAAGGTCGAAGTTCTCGTTGTATTTTTCAGATAGTTGCATCCCTATTAACGGAATTTTTATTAATATTGGCACTAAATATAAGGCCCTAGGACTAGGCTGAACAAGGCTATTAAACTAGCTCTTAAAGCAAATTTAAAGTATGCTTGTGATGTTACTCTGAGTGCAGTATATCCACTGACACCGGTGTGGACTCAGTATATATAAACATCACAAGCATCATATACACCTGAGTACACTACACCAACACATAAAATTTAAAGTAAGTTTTTTGATGTTGCAACAGGACTTTTACACAGAGCTACTGTATATTAAAAACCAATACCAGCCGACAATTTCAAAAAATATAAACATAATCCGAAGATTAGCATCTTGAAACTCAAAATATGAGTCAAACAAGAAAGTGAGTGAGTAATATTTCGATTTTATTACAAAATCATCATCAGACTAACAAAATCATCATCAGACTAACTAGTTAGTCTGATGATGATTTTGTAATAAAATCGAAATATTACTCACTCACTTTCTTGTTTGACTCATATTTTGAGTTTCAAGATGCTAATCTTCGGATTGTGTTTTGTACTATCCTGTATATTAATTTGGAGAAATTTTTCATCCTAAGCTTGTCTCGCACTTTAGTTTACTTTAACGATATTTCCCTGTCTTATATTTTTTTACTCAATGCCATGGTAGTATGACCTAATATTAATAAGTAGGACGTCTGCGAATTAAAACACCGTCGGTAACGCTCACAATTCCTTGTCGGTACTACTTTCCTACATTTTTGTTTGTGCGAAAATGTCATATTGTAACATGTGATGTTTTCGCTCGCTACTCTGTTTTTTACAAATGAATGCAAAGTCCAGTCGAATTGCACATGCGTTCGCGACCCAACGTTTCGACACTCCAGCCTAATGTCTTCATCAGGGGTGATCAGGGCCGTAGCAAAGAGGCTAAGCTTGGGGGGTGTAGTATCGCATTTACTGACAACATTTCAGTCTTGGGGGGGGGGGGGCGATTTTCCAAACATATACCATTCTTCACCAACTTTCAATTTAATCTACCGTGATTTGTTACA